CGTGAATCTACTTTCTTTTCTTTAAATCTGGACTTTATGTTGAAATTGTTGTTTTTGATTGGTCCGTTGCCTTCTCTGTTTATTCACCCATTGCGCATAATGAAACTAACAGGATATGACTGCAAGACTGATGTAATGAGGCAGAAATAACAACTCAGATGAAATCCAATCCCTGCTGCACACCCAGCTGCTAATCTGGATGTGTTTAAACGTGTGTAAAAACTATTCCTTTGTTTTGATTATTATATGATGAGACAGAGAGGGCCTCTGACTCGCTGCCTGTTATTGATAAGTCCTGAACTGGTTGTGTAAGAGCTGATCGTGAAGCCTCGCTGTCCTTGTTTATGCTTAGGGGACTTCTAGACCTTTCTCTCCAGGGATGTGGAGGAGTAAGGTACAGTTATATAAGAGAGAAAAATACATATACACTCTATACACACATCATTATGCATGGCCAGTTCTGCGCTCAGATCCCACGCTGGGTGCTCGCACAGAGCTTTTCAAGCGTTCTAAACCATTAATTCTCTTACCAGTACTTTTATCCTTCAGTTGTTGTGTAATCTTTTATTTATTGACACTATTTAGGGAACAAAGGGGTGATGACATAAACTATAATTGAGCCCGGAACCGTCTCAAGCACATTGTCAGAGTCTTTGTCTTGTTATGTTTAGTGTGACTCTGTAAAAGCTTTATATTTTAAGACCAGTTCAAGACTTTGTAAAAAACGCAGTCTCTTTGAGTCTGTGAGCAAAATAAGAATATAGATACCAATCCCATTTAGCTTTCTTCAGGATCTGGTTGTGGTCAAAGAAGTATACTCAGATCCTTTAGAGTAGAAAAGCTTTGATGACATGAACTTGGAAGTTGTATATAAGTTGTATGATGATCTTTTTCCTCTCTAACATCCATCTGATGTGATGTGAACACAGCATAACACCTGAAATGGGATTGATATACGAAACACAATTTTCTTGAAGATATTGAACTTTTCCTTTCAGAATAGGTTTAATGCTTTAATGATGGGAAAAGTAAAATGTCGTTATACTCCACCGATTTGGTATTCCTCTGCTAATTTGTTAAAACACCTAAAGACTGACCAAGATATTTCAGGCATCAACTAAATCCTCCTGTAATCATCACCCTGTTGCCAAAATAGAGCACGCACAATGAGCCATTCATCATGCTCTGTCGCTGGTATTCAGGCTGTTGTTAGGGGGAAAACTGCTCTCTGTGGAGGCACACGGAGATAAAAGACCTCTCAAGCCTTTTAATTATTCCTCACAACCGTTCCTCGTTCCATATAATACAGTGGTTCTTTATAAAAGTAGGTGATTCCCAAAGTAGATTGCTTTGTGGTAGCTAAATTGTTTCTCAAGACCGAATGAATGGCAGCGTTTGTACATTACTGGCTGAGTTTTAGTCGTGGCACCTCCACTGATTTACAATAAAATATTATGAACTGATACCAATATTTAAGATTATCTTAGGGACCACCGTATGAAAATTCAAATGATTCCACCAACAGTAAAACTCAGTAACAGTGTTAACATACTATCAAGGATGTGTTGCTCATTGTGAGTTTGAAGCTTGACGGCACTAATGTGATCGCGCATTTCCACGTCATTGAAGCAAAATGAGTCACTGTTATGTTCAGCACTGTGATATTTTTAGACTACACTGTTACTGTTTAGAATGAGAATATAAATCAGAATTCGGTAATCTTCCACAAGCAGATTTTTCTTGTGGTAATTTTGGTGTGTATCATTAAACATAGTGGGAGAAAATCAAATTCAAATGTACTCGTAAAGTCAATTATCACCAATAAAACTAGAAGAAAATAGATACTTATATATATATGAAATTATAAAATAAATCTTATGAAAATGCAGTTGTGACTATAAGCTCACACTATATTGAGCGTAGTGTGTTCTTCGTATGTTGTGACCTTGTGATCCGTGTGGAAAGCAAAGTGTGATAGCAGACCCCCATACATCACTGTCAAGCCACAGACTGCTCCAGCCACATCCAGGTAATCTATTTGTCCCGGTAAAATATGGTGTAATTTGTTCCAGTTTTTTCTGCAAGCCCAGCAAAGAAGCTGCCATGTGCGCTGCAGCTTATGCATATGTAGCATTTCCTGCATGGTGCTGGTGGCCAAACATAGCTTTTCTTTGTCTTTTGGGATTCACATTGCTTACTCTCAGATCAAATATGTAATTCTTGTGTAAGACAGGTTTTATTTGCTTCATTCTAAATGACTGTATGAAGTACAGTCTCTGCTGTCATAAGACCTTCAATGCGTGACCAGATTCAGATTTCTTGCGCTCATCTCACAATTGAATGCCATGTAGCTCTCTGAAAGCTTTCAGTGTGGAGGCACTCTAGTTCTGACGTCAGTCCTCTATATTCTTGGACTCTATTATAACCTCTTGGCTCTCGCTCTCGTCATCGTGCTATAGTTTCTGGTTATATAACATTATGTAACTTTATGATTTGCAGCTTTAACCAAGGATGTTAATGGACCAGCCGCCTTCTCCATTAATGCAAAGTCTTACAGTGATCACTTGGCAACCTACATCTCTTTATTTTGGCCTTCGGTGAATCATGACTTACAGATTTGGATCATGATAACTGTTATATATATTTCAATCAAAGACTGTTAAGTAAAAGATAGAAATCTTTGCCCGGAGAGCTTTCAGATCATGAGAGCTAACATGGCTGCCTTTTAATGGGTCTTTATGTCAATGCTGGGTCAGCAGTGTATTAGAAGAACATTTCCTTATGCAACAACCTTTCTAACCCACAGACTAGTCACACTGACAGCTTAACGGCTTACAAGAGAGTTCATGTGAGTGAGGAAACAAAGTTTTAACAAAGAATGTTTGGAGATTTTGCTTGTTTCTGGGTTAAACCAGAATCTAATCGTTTCATAGCAGGATTTCAGTGTTATTTATATCCTAAATGTGGCTGGATCCCAACCTTCAGAATGAGGCTGGACAAAGACTTTACAGAGAACTAAAAGATACTGTACTGTACTCAAAAATCCTCTAGAGTCCCATCTCTGGACATGTTTGGGAAACAAACAAATCAATCCGTGTCAATTAGAGCTGCGTTCAAAGTAACCCACATCCTGGGAGTCGGTCTCTCATTCTGCACTTAACAGCAGGCAATGCAATTACGCTGCAAAACCCTGTAAAGTGCTGAGGGTCTGAGAGGATGAGCGGCTGCATAAAAGGCTCTTACTGTCTTTGATCTGTACCACTCTCAGGTACCCTCCCGAGCAGAGACTTTCCCCATAGCATGAGAGAGCAGAGCTGCATCGGAAACCCTCTGTTTCACATCTTTCATGTTGAGATCCATACGCCGTCAGACACCACAGTTAGGGAAGCCCCTCTACATAAGTACACTGATCATCAAAGCCCCTGTTCTGCTCCCCTCCACTGTTCCTTCTCTTATTTTGATACCTCTCTGCCGAGGTGGGGGCAGCGAGAGTGATAGCAGTCCTGATTGAATTCCTGAAGGAGAGTTACTTCCTCTCCAGCTGTCTCAGTTATAAAAAAAGAGGTGAGAACGCTGCACTTTAACAGCTGAGTCTGAATTAGACTGAGGAGTGGGAGCATAATCACATTTGACTTGCAGTGTGAATTACAGAAGCAGGTTGTGCGTCCTTTCTCCCACATCGCTATCACGATGCTATGTTTGATACTTCATTTGCATGCACACCACACGACGATTGAATCAGTGCAATCCTCAAGGAAATGAACATTCAGACAAAGACTGCAGAGCAAGAAAACAAGGAAGAGGCTCCCAGCTTCCAGACATATGTTGTTCAATTCTTTATTGTATATTTTATCAGAATGTAATAAGATGGAGTAAGCTCTTACCAGTGAAAATGATTCCGCTACAAATGATTAAACTGGATAATATGTTATGAAATATTAAATGTACTGCATAATTCCTTTAGGGTGATTCATTTGCAACGTAAGGGCAGTCTATTAAAAGCACTTTCAAGACCAAAGGAAATTCAGCTTGGTTCAAAATATATTACAAAATACAAAATGGGAGTGTCTTCTCAAACAGA